AAATCTAGGTTTTATGACCTCATTAACAGTTGCTTTTTCTAATAAATACATGTTTATTTACCTTGACATTGGTCATTTGCAAAATAGCTGTGTTTAAAACACTCCTATTTTACAACCTTGTAATACGATAGCGTTTTTTTTGACAAAGACTCAACAATTCGACTTGTCAGAATTGGAATTTCATTTTCTGTAGTATGGTGGTTTTTGTTGTTGTTGTTGTTGTTATCCTTTTCAAAAGGAATTCAAGTTAATGTTTATGTAAAGATTTAAGTAGTAATTGTGCAAATGGGGATTTTCTTAAAAATAATCCAAAAAGGCGCAACTTTAGTTATTGTTAAACGTTAAAGACGTTCTAGAAAATTTAGAATTACACAGCTTCCGGATAGATCGCCCCTACAAAAAACCATTAAAATATTTTAAAAATTAAAAGCACTTTGATAGCTATCTACACCGTGGTCATGTAGCTTAAACGTGACAATTTCCTGGACTTTAAAGTGGTAAAGTTGAATATTTCTAAATGGTCAGTGATTTGGTGGTTTGGTGCTGTAATTTCATCACAGATTATGTTCGACCGATTTAATTGAATTGCACTGATCAGGCGCGGATCCAGGGAGGGGTCACTCACTTTAAAAAAAAATTTCAAATCCAGAAAGATACAAGCAAAAAACTCATTTCTCAAACGTGAAAACCCGATTTTGTGGTGGCTGTAGTGGGGGATGGTGCGTTGACTTTTAAAGCTTCATGACACTCGAATCAATTTCACATAGATCCGCGTTATCCAGAAGGGGCTGATTTTTCTAGGGGATGTCAGGGTCTTTTACTTGGTTTGTTATATACTTGGTTTTGTATATTTAATTACTCTGCAAATTTCAGGGGGATGTCGAACATTTATATGCCATGTCTTTCTTTTAATACCATATTTTGCATTTAGCTATGCCATTTAACAAGCATCATAGTTATTTTTAGAATTTATACTTAAAAAGTGTGTGCACCACTCCCAATGTGAATTTTGCGTTTTATTTGCTAAATCACTGCTGTTTACATGTTCAGAATAATAACAAGTATGCGAAAAAGCTAAACGATGCTAAAGGGCACGAGGACATTATAAAAGACAAAACAAGATCGGTAATACATGAAAGCATCGTTTAAAGTGCATACATGTACCTAAATTGAAGAAATACTGTATAGAACAGTCGACACTTAACTTAAGAACAATAAACTCCTTAGACAGATGATAATGCTTTATTGTTACATTAGTAAGGGAAGTTTGGGATACAAAAAAATTTAAGTCATCATGTTTATCATAGTTTCATTAGGTAATCATAAAGGTGTTTTTCTAGTAACGGTATCTTTTATTACGACTTGAAATGAATGTATCGAATCAATGTAGGAATATAATTAGTTGAGAAAATGTCGTCGATCTGAAAAATGTTTAATAGGGCCAGCAAGATACTTTCACTTTTCATTTAGAGGTTTGTGAATAATTCTGCGTTTGCTTATTATGTACGTTTTATCGTTATCAATTTGTAAATAAGACCCAATTCAATTTTATTTATACTGAAAAAAGGCTTTTTAATAAATGAATTTGTGTAATTTTATCTGCTTTATTTTATGCACTATCAGTGGTGATAATATCCGACTTAGAGCAATAATAAAATTACATTAAAATATTATAATATCGGTATTCACATTAAATATAGCTTTTTAACTTCAGTACTTTTTATTGGTAATCATTCCCCACAATATTACTCTAATATAGGTCCTTTACGTCAATGTTCATATTATTTTTGCCTTTCTTACTATTTGTACGTCTTATAAATATTTTGGGGGAAACTTGTTATTATTTTAATCAGGTTAAAAGTTTTATGCAAACATACTTCGTCAGGTGTGGCCTTTACGCATTACTTTTTATACATATCTAAATATAGCTATGATGCTTGTAATATAGAATGCAAATTATTTGATCGACAAATATTTAAAATAGCTACACTGAAAATGCAAATATTGAAAGACATGTTGAAAAAACCTTAGATTATATCTGTCAAATCAATAAATCGAATTTATATATATGTAGTTTTGACTGGTCGACAGGGGATGCTCTCTCCTCCATTGTACCCTATGCAACCTCTGAAGTTTTTAAGAGGTCTGTACATGTTTGCTTTGCTTCCACGTTGTATTGTTTAGACGGAATTTTGGCTTGATTACTCTTCTTTATCTTTAATGCGTAGTAATTACACAAGATTTTTCCACAAAAAATTGATTTACTTTAAAACATTGGCGTATAAGCCGCCACATAGCTCCGTACTTCTTCGTAAAATATTGTCATACATGCATTAATTTTGCATTCGGGGTTGACATTTCATTTCTTCAGAACAGATTTTGTACAATCATCCACTGTATACAAGTAACTGAATGTCCGTCTCTGTAAGCAAAATAAAGAATACATGTTTAACAAAATGTTTCATTGGGTTTTTAGGCCATCTATGAAATTTAATACTGACATACAAAGCTGTAAAGTTTATACCTGCAACGGCCCTTCTGCAAGAAATCTAACATGATATATTTATATACAATGCAATTGTGAGAATCACATTTCGTTCTATGTGTTTTTTACTTATGTTTGTATGACTGATGTATTGTCCTAATTGGTTAATTAGAGATGTGAAGTTCCAGAGCATGTTTATGGGGGTTTTTTTTCTCAACAATTGATTTTTAAATAAATCTGTATATTTAACAATGAACATAAAGAGATAATATGAAATTCTTTTCAAAATGTTGTTTGCTCCGGAAAAAGTTTATTGCGAAATTATAGATTTAAAAGTTACACTCTAACTACAACGTGCTTGATTACACGTATACCTTACACAGGGGTATGAGTGCCTCTACCAAGGTCAGACAATATATAGGTTCCTCTGTTTTGTATATGTTTGTAATGTGTGGAAGATATTCAAAATTTTATTATATTTTGATTTAATAACCAGTTTCTAGTCGTCTTTAAAAAAATTTGAAACATTAAAACATTGATTTTTGAAAAATACGTTTTTTTCCCTAAAGGGTTATATAAGAAACACTACCCTCTGCTATCTTTCACAAATTATGCCTGGTATGGTACCTCAATTTTTGTGACTAAACATATTAAAGTAGCTATAATTCAATGACAAAATCTTGGAAAAATTATATATGATTGAGAAACGTATCATCTGACATTAATTTGCCGAAATACAACTGATTTCGACTTTAATTGTACATGAACTGTCGACATTGAGCGCAGAATGAGGGTTGCATTTTCGGAGGAAACAAGACAGTCTGATCAGTCTTCAGTCAGAGTAGCTGAGATCGACGTGATGACGATTAAACACAATGACAGTGATCAAGGTCAAACACAGAAAGTTAGACGTATTAACCTTCAACACCTTAAAATAAGTTGGAGAAATAGGTGAATGCTAACAGTACTTCTAATGTATGATAAATTGTGAAAGAAAACCAGAATACTAGGCACGACTAAGGGGGTATTACAAGACAATCATTTGTGTAGGAATAAAGGAAATCTTTGGTGTTGTTGGATGATCGTACATTGCTACATCAGTCATAAATTAAGATGGTGAAATACATATAAAGCACATACACAGATATTGCCAAATAAGCTCACAATTCTTCCGAACAAAGAAGTTATCATGTAAATTTTAAAAAGGTATTTAGAAATGAAATTGATTGAAAATTTTAAAAAAGCAAACTTTTTATACATTTTTTTAAAATCGTTTGTAGGAGTTCTTACTTTCATTATTCATTCAATAATAACCACCTTTGAAGAATCGTTCAAATTGTTGACAATTATTATAGCAAATGTATTCTCTAACATTTAAGATTTATTTCCGTGGGATTTTGTACTTATTTGAAATATCTGTATACTGTAAATTAAGTGATCCACTTGCGAATGAATTTTAAAAGCAAGGATTAAGATCGTTTTCCTTGTAGCAAGTGTTTATGTTTAACGCATATCATAAAAAAGATTGTTTAGATTTTGTCAGAGAGTGTTTTCATTGATACAACAGAATGATTTAGAGAAAAATAAAGGCGCATACCATCAACACTATCTCTGCCAACGAAAAGTGAGGATCTTTCCTCTAAGGTAGGAAAAAGATAGTCGAGCTATAATATGCTCCTAAAAGCCTTTAAAGGAAGCAATTTCTTAAAAGTGTGATAAATTTATTAGTGATTGTAGATCCCCTTATGCATTTTTAAATAGAAGCATAAACAAAATTTACTACATTCAATAAAATTTCAAACAGTTGCTTCACTTTTTGCAAAAATAATAATAGTAAAAAAAAAATAATAAAGGTGTACAATTACATTTACTTAATGTTTGTAAGGATACATTTCATGTTTTGGATTATTATACATGCGTTGCATAAAATATGGTATGCTTCTTATTACTGTGTATATGGCATCATTGAAAGTATTTTAGTTTTTGAATTAATTAACTATTTGACATTGAAATATTGAATATTTTCTGCAAAATTATTTTTTTTCATTCGCTGACGGTTCTCACAAACAGCTATTCCAGGCGTAAAACCGGAAGTATCTTGTATTCATTATTAGATTGTGAGAGAAAGTAGAAGAGGTAGGTAATATAGAAAAAAAAATAATGTTTGATTAAAAATGACATTTCCTGATTTAGTTTCTCTTACTTTTTTATGATTATAGAAGTTTACATATTCCTTAACAAAGTTTGCAGAAGATACCTTTATTTATTTTTTACTTTATTTATTTTTCATTGATTTATTTATTATTTTTTCTTGATTTATTTATCTATCTATTGTTTTTTGTTTTTTTTTATTATTTATCAATTTTGCGTTAGTTTTACATAGGTTTTTATTATGTATGTATCGGGAAATCGGTTTTAGAGAATAAATAAATGCGAAGATCGCTGAATTTTTTGCATTGTGTATTTAAACTTCGGGTGGCTTGATTTGCATCAGTGCGCTTGTGAATTACCCGGTCTATTTGACAGATTCTTCTATATAGGTTTATTTTCGAGTCCTTTTTCCTCAAGCAAGGTGAAAGAAACGGAACCAATTTAAACATTGCGCAACATTATCTTTATAATGGATTGAATTGCTGAAGAAAACATAAAACGATGGATGTACACAGACATCGAAAGGTAAGGGACAAAGTATTATTAACAATGTCTGCTTTATTAATCAATTTCATCATATTGATTTTTTTAGTCCTGGCAAACCGTTTACCGACAGAAAAAAAATGTCGTCGAGATATTTAGAACACACACATAAATGTCCCAAAGAAAGCAGCAAAATACATAAATATTTTACAGAGAGTAGGGCACAGGACGTGTAATTATACGGAATAGGTTACTGAGGACTGGCCGTGTTATGTTCTTTTCCCCTCCACAGTGTCCTGCTGTGTAAGTGAATGCCCCATAATTTACCCGTCATTTGATGAGGGCATTTGTTAAATGGAATTTCAGTCCATGCCATCAGAAAAGATTTTATTTCATCTCGATTCAGGGATTTTTTTAAAGGGATTTTTACATATTTAGATACACTTTTGAAGAAATTCAGTAATAAAATTTATATTTATTTATATGCCGTGTTTAATGTCTCAAAAACTATAAAAATGTTTTTTACTGCTTTTTGATAGAAAAAGAGTTTTAAAACGATTACACGGTAATTTTAAGAAATCAAAAGTCTTTCTTAAGGTGGCAAACAGTCAAATTTATTCTCTGGTGGAGAGAGAGAGAAGAGGGGAGAAGAGAGATGATACTCTGATGCGGATTTTAACCCGATATGTATGGAATTATATAAAATATATAAAATAAATCTAGTAATTATTTGCCTACATTCATTCTTTTTTTATAGTGTATTCAATAAACATTCAAGAGATATTCAATTTTCAGATTACTTAACATCTATTTTTTTTCTTATTCTTACCTATCACTACTACTACATGCAGTGCTATCCTCAGCTAGCGTGTTCAATTGTTTTCCCCTTAATCTTCACTAAGGACAGGCGATACGTTCCTTTATAATATATAATTTTTCCAAGATTTTGTCAGTAAAGTATTGCTACTTAAACATGTTTACTCACCGAAAATTGAGGTACATTACCAGGCATCTGTGCAAGTTACCAGAGGGTAGTTTATATCATCCTTTTGGGAAAAAAATAATTTTCCAATATCAAACTTTTTAGAGTTGAGAAACTGGTTTAGAACTCAGAATGTAATTTTAATTTTGATTATTTTTCATACATCACGAAGATATACAAAACAGATATTGAGGTACGTCTCGCCTGACCTTACTAGATACACTTCCCATTTCATAAATCAGCGTTAAATAATTAATATTATCTCCACATGTCCCTAGAATTTATAATAATTAAAATAAAATGTGTAAGAACCTGAGTTGGATAAAAAACGGGAACTGAATTGTAATGGAATCTTATTGCAAATGTACAAAAGTAACATTTCATACTTAGGTTAACACTTCATACACAATATTTTTGTTTTGAATCTAAATACAGAATTTCATGGCAAATGCTTTCTTTTTATTTTCTCATGGATATTTTAAGCTGAATGATTTTTTAAAGCTTGGATAAAGGTATGCATAGGGAAATTTAACAGTTTTATTAACAACTAAAACTGTTGGATTTATGTGATATGGTTTGAACATATTTTATTGTTTAGATGTTTGAACAAAAGGGTGTGCTATATGTAAAGAAGACTTTAAGTTCATACTTTCGTGACAAAAAAGGGTAAAGGTGGCATTGTTTCCTAAAATAAAGGAAAGTTTCTTCATATATTCGAATTGTCTTTGCTGAAAAATGGTTAACTGAATACTTCTTTCCTAATATAAAAGAGACAGTTTTGTACTTATTTCATGAGAAAATGTTGCGATCTAAATTATATTGATTTGATTAAATGCGTATTTCAATTATCTTCATAAAAAGTCCTCGTAGGAAACTCTGCAGGAATGTGTAATCTTTTACAAGGACAACTGTTAGTACCTTTTTTTTAATGTATCGTATCAGTTTGGGACCATAAACACCACGTGTAGGTGACGATAGAGCATTGCTGTAAACAAGGACTTTGTCGATGACAAACCTGGAGTCTTCCTGTTAATAAAAAAGTTTAGTTATTAATTGGTCATTATCATTTATATCATTCGTTTGTCATTTACAATTTACTTTGGTAAAAAGATTCTAATTGTACACATAAGTTCTCTTGAGATGATATTAAAAAGATGCTCTATCTTCTGATTGACAAAATCTATGTGGTTTTTGGAGACCAGATCTTCCAACAAGCTATTGGAATTTCCCATGGGTATCGATTGCGCCCAGCTATAAGCAGAAGTATTTTTTATTCATATGAAGCAGATTTTGTTCATTTTTTTGAAATGCAAGAAAAACACACTCGCTCTGGCCTTCAACTGGACATTTATATATATCATCGACAAATTGTCAGTAAACAATAGTTATTTCCATTCTCTTGTCGATAGGATATATCCCGGTGATGTTGAAATAAAATAACTCATAGATTCTGACAAATCTTTTTCATATTTGGATCTTTTAATACAAAAAACCTAAATGGATACCTAACAACAAAGCTTTATGATAAACGTGATGACTTTAACTTTTCAATCGTCAAATTCCCTTTTGCAGCAATATTCTTTTGTTATATGAATGCGGATCAGTTGATTCGATGCGGAAGAGCTTGTTCTACATATGAACAACTTCTAAAATGAGGTAAATTATTGACAAACAAGTTGATGAATCAAGAATATCAGCAGTCTCGTTTAGGTCATCTTTCCAGATAAATGACCTCAGCAGATACATTTTATCATTACGTCAAATGCTGATTTACTGATTTTTTTTTTCATACTGATTGAAAGGTCCATTATATACACACTGAATTGTCGACGGATTTTTCCGATATTTCCCGATCATGATAAAGAGTACACATCGGGTGTGACCGGTCGGCGGGGATGCTCACAGACACTCCTTTATTACTGCACCTGATTAGCTTATGCAATTTATCATTAAGTCAAATGCTGACTGACTTTTTTCATACTAATTGTCAGGGCATTATTTACATACTGAGTTGTCCAGGGTTTTTTCCTTTCTTTTTTTTAACATGACAAGGAGCACGCGGCGAGTATGATCGGTCGGCAAATGATGCTCACTCTTCTACTGACCTGGTCAGCAAATATACCGGTAATTTATCATTTAGTCATATGCTGTCTGACTTTTTCATTCTGATTGTTAGGCCATTATTTACGCATTAAGCTGTCCAGGATTTTTTTTCCTTTTTTCGAGCATGACAAGGAACACACGGCGGATGTGATCGGGCGGCAAGGAATGCTCACTCCTCCATGGCACCTGATCCGCTCGTTCAAATGCTGATTTACTGATTTTTTTTTTCATACTGATTGAAAGGTCCATTAAATACACACTGAATTGTCGACGGATTTTTCCGATATTTCCCGATCATGATAAAGAGTACACAGCGGGTGTGACCGGTCGGCGGGGATGCTCACAGACACTCCTTTATTAATGCACCTGATTAGCTTATGCAATTTATCATTAAGTCAAATGCTGACTGACTTTTTTCATACTAATTGTCAGGGCATTATTTACATACTGAGTTGTCCAGGGTTTTTTCCTTTCTTTTTTTTAACATGACAAGGAGCACGCGGCGAGTATGATCGGTCGGCAAATGATGCTCACTCTTCTATTGACCTGGTCAGCAAATATACCGGTAATTTATCATTTAGTCATATGCTGACTGACTTTTTCATTCTGATTGTTAGGCCATTATTTACGCATTAAGCTGTCCAGGATTTTTTTTCCTTTTTTCGAACATGACAAGGAACACACGGCGGATGTGACCGGGCGGCAAGGAATGCTCACTCCTCCATGGCACCTGATCCGCTCGTTTTTGTGATGTTTGATGGAATTTTGAGTTCGAACATTGTTCGTTATCTCCACATGTTTCATAGTTAGTAAAACATACAAATACTAGATAGATGTGACAGACTCTATCGTGTATTTTATTTGGAGTTCACTATAGGATTAAACGTTCTTTTTTCAGAATTTATCGATGTGTAAACTCTGCCTTTTTACTCACAAACTGAATAAAAGTGCGAAGCACTTTTATGTTAAGTTTGTGAGTAAAAAGGCACTTTTTTCATCGATAATTGTCAAAAAAGATTATTTAATTCTTATAATTCCAATATTACGAATTTTTTTAATTGTTAAAATTATTTCTCTTTGAGGCCGCCATACAATCCGTTATTTTGTACGGCGTAGGAATACTTTATGCCGCAAAGAAACGTATACAAGATGAATATTGATAAAATCCAACTTTATTTGTCAAAACAATCTATAAATTAAACTTATAAAAACTCATTGAATGTTGTTTAAGTCAACAAATATCGTGAATACGCGAATTAATTCTCCAAAATAATTCGTAATTTATCATTTAGCCATGTTGACGTCATGACGAAAGTTGAAGACCGACGACGTCCTCGATTTGCTCTGGTTCGTTCAAAGATTTACGCATTTGATGCTGAAAAGGCAAGAGTCTGAGGTACGTTTTTTTCCCTATCACATTACGATACCAACTGAGTTGATATGGAACACAGAAAATGACAGCATGATCAGCGATTTCAAAATATTTCACACTCGTGATCCGACAATGACATAAACATAATATTCCCGTCTGTCAGTCCTGTTTATCTCCTTTTCATTCATTAATTCATTTTTTATAAGTTTCTTGTAATCATAATTTAGCTAAAACGGACTAGAAGTATCTGTTTTCATTGTTTTTACAACAGTCAATAAAGTAGTTCTGGTTGAAAAATTCATCGATGTGTAAACTTTTTCTTGAATTTGTTCTCGTCCAATCAAAACACAAGGAATCGATAAATAGAATTAAGATTGGAATTATTGGGATATATCCAGTCATGGTATCCAAAGAATCAATTAATAGGTATTGTAAATGAGAATCTCTAATATCTTTTAAATAACACCTTCATTGTTATTGTATGTACGGTGAAGAGCAACTGAAGAAAGATTTGTAACAAAATAATTTTGTTCATTTTGAATAAAAAATATGAAAATAATAGAGTTCCATTTTTTAAGGATGCAG